TTCACACCCATGTTTATTTCAATAGCTAAGAAATGGAAACAACCTAAATGTCCATCACCAGATAAATGGGTAAAGAAAATGTGGCATATATCCACAATGAGATATTATTCAACTTCAAAAAAGAAAGAAACTCTGTCACATGCTACAATGTGAGTGAACTTAGAGGACACGATGCAAAGTGAAATAAGCCAGTCACAGAAGGACAGGTACTGCATGGTTCTGCTTACATGAAGTATCTAAAGTAGTCAGACTCGTAGAAACAGACAGTAGAATGGTGGACACCAGGGGATGGAGGTGGCGGTGGAGTTCAAGCGGCTGTGGGGTTCCGTGGATGTGGTTTCAGTCACACAAGACAAAGTCCTAGAGACCTGCGGTGCAACAGTGTGCATAGAGTTAACCATAGTGTGCTGCACAGTCACAAATTTAAGAGGGTAGATTTCACGTTGTGTTTTTTACCACAACAAAATGGTGAGAGCACAGCATCAGAGGTCTGTCATCTTTATCACTCCTCCTACCCTGTCTATACCAGATTTCTGTGAAAACCAGAAAGCGAAGGAAAGAAAATGAACACATATTTGGTTTTGGGCCTGAAGGCTTATGTATTGGGTGTGACCAGATTTCTTGATGCCCCCGATTTAGGAAAACCTGTGATTAATTTAATAACTTGAGATAGTAGAGTGCACGTCGTTAGTGATTTCAGTTTTAAAACAAATACTCTTTGCTTTTTAGACTACACAGAATTTCTTTTTATTGAAGTATAGTTTTTTTTCGTGTTAGTTTCTGGTGTACAGCATAGTAATTCAGTTATACATATATATTCTTTTTCATATTCTTTTTGTTACAAGCTATTGAATATAGTTCTCTGTGCAATACAGTAGGACTTTGTTTACCAATTTTATTTTATTTTGTGTATTTATATATATATATTTATTGAAGTATAGTCAGTTGACAATATTGTGTCGATTTCTGAGGTATAGCATAACGCTTCATTGTTTACCAATTTTATATATAATAGTTTGTATCTGCTAATCCCAAACTCCTAATTTATCTCTCCCCATATCTAAAGTACATAGAATTTTACTGTGCAATATTACATATAGAAATATAATATAGAGTATTATATATAATACATAGCAGTATATACTTTATATTTACATAAAGTATTTATACTTAATTTTTTATATTCTTGCGAAGCATAAGGAATTTATTTGTTTTTATATTATAGAGTAAGGCTTTTGTATAAGATTATGATTGTACCATTTTACATTAATATTAACTGTATAAGGAGGCATGTTTCATTTGCCAGTATGTATTTTAAAAACAATACTTACATATAACATATACAATATATTTTATGTGGCGCGTATATTTTTACATATAAATACTTCTCTAGAATGTAGAAGATGTTTTCTAGGGGACAGTAAGGAGGGATGAGTAAGCGGAGAAAAAGTCAGGGGCTGAGTCTGTCTGAAATCTGAAGCAGGTGCTCTTCCCCTTTCCTGTGATGAAGATGGAGGAAGGGGGATCGGTTTTGAGACAGAAAGGGGAGCTACAGGAGAAGCTTCACCAGACACGTGCAGTCCCTAAACAGTCCTGGCCAGGAGTGTTCACCACCCTGTGTCCTGCACAATGGCGGCAGCAGCACAGATGTTGGCTCTGGGTGCTGGGAAATGGGGTGCCTGTCCATGCTCTGCTGTCAGCCAGCTAAGGCACATGGGCGCAGTTCCCAAATCTGGATTCCTCATCTGTGAAATGAGGAAATTAATCTACCTGATTTTTAGATTGATTTGTCTTTTCATCACAGCGTTAGTTTCAAATATGTTTTTCCTTTCTCAGACTGTACCCTGATTTTGACTTGGTGTAGATGGCTGCCAAACTTCTTAGGTCTGTCCCACGCTGAATCTTGGATCTTTCATCACTTCTGTAAAACCCAGGGAACTCTTTCCTCATATTGTGGTCTTTAAGATGCAAATTTGGTCAGAAGGAAGGAAGGAACAGAGCTGTGATGAGCTGATTTTAGCAGCATCACTCCACTCAAGCATCAGGCTTGGTCTCTGGGTGTCAGACAGCACATCCTGCTGAGCGCCTACAGTAGGAATGGTCTTTTGCAGGGAACACCAAATGATTCCATAGAAGGGTGACTTCTGCCATTTAACCTGTCACTTCTGCTGATTTTTCCTTGAGGTATAATTTGTTGGTATCCATCGTTGGTCACCTGCAGGTTATCATGCCAGTTTTTGTCAGAAAGTGTCTTTACAGCTATGGACAAGGGCAGGAGAACCCTGTATGGAGTTTGGCAGAAATTCAGGGCCTCCGAGACCAGGTACTATGAGATCATCATTAGAAAACCCAGCACTTACCAAGTGCATCCTGTAAACTAGGCATTGTGCAAGATGCCCTCCCTTATATTCACTCCTTCTTTTGATTGTCAACCTGTATGTTCATCAGTTCCCTTTTCGACTGCAGGTTTGGCCTTATGTTCTTAAGTCCTGATCTATGGCAGATCCTATCTGCCTTGTTTCCACCTTTCAGATCCTGACTCATAGCCGCCTCCTCCCAAAACACCTCCGCATTACTTCCACCTCTAAGACATCTGTCAGACCTTTTCTGTATTTTCAGTTTCATTTGATGGTATGACATGCAAGCACATTTATCCCCAGGAAGGATCTCAAGCCTGAGAATCCTTAGGGGGTGTAGTAGTAGGAACTTTCTTTCGTGGGTCATGCCTTCCAAGTCAGAGAAGTCCTGCTAAGGAGCTGTTATTAACCCCACACCTATTCATCAGCCAGAGAGTGTGTGTTAGTACTGAGTGCACTCTCAGGCGCTGAGATTGTCGTCATTGTGATGGCATTTTAGATTAAATACGCATTCGTATTTTTAAAGCTCTTGAGACAGTTGACTCTCCTCTGAAAAAAATAATAATGACATCAAAGAGCTAACTCATAAGTCTGTCAGTGAGCTTATCACTGTATCGTATCTTCATTTTCCCCCTTATAAGCTGTGAAATCATGACAGTTCTGTAACCCATGGCATTTTCATAAATGTAAAGCCGAGATGAAAGGTGAAACTGAGATTGAGCTTGTGGATTGGATTTCATTAGTATGAAATTAGTGTTAGTCTTCTGACAGACTTGAGAGAAATGTAATCATTTGTTAAATAGAACTTAAATGATTTTATTTTCTCTACTGTTTTAGAATAAGGAACAGATGATGATGATAATGCCTAGCATTTATTATGTTGCTTTTTATAGTCACTAAGTGTTTTCACAGCGATAACCTCATTTCGATATGGTCTCTATTCTCAGAAAGTTTACACTGAATAACTTGGAGGAGAAAAACTAACATATGTAACTACTAGAGAAGGATTAAGTGGTGTTGAATGTGAATCTAAATACTATAGAGCAGAGAAAGGTCAGTAGAGGTTGAATAAATCCCATTAAATGAGACCCAGCCTATTCCTGCCTCTGGCTGGCTTTGTAAAACATGTATTGGTTGAACATTCCCAGACTCAGACCATAGAACTACTATCTTAGCTTATGAATCATTGGTTTGTAAGAATGGCAGAGGTGGTTTGCACTTTCCAGATACAGAACATGCCTGTACCTAATCACTTGATTGATTCGCTTATTTTATAAGCCAGAGACATGTGCAATTAGGGAATAAAATAATTGCCGAAAGGATAGTAGATTCTTTCATCCCTAGGGGAAAAAGATGAATTGTTCCGCTTGCATTATATTATTTCGTTTCTGTTTGCCTCCACCATGATGCTGGATTCTCCCCAAAGAACCACTTGAAAATCTTGCAGTTTGTTATGTTTTTCATCAGTTTCCTAACTGCAAAACCTCATTACCTCAAGTTATACCACTTATCCCCCGGGGGAAATGCATGCTGCAGGAGGAAAATTCAGACTCAGAATTAGCACAAGTTTGCGTTAGGAAAAACGAGAATTCGTTTATCAGCTCCCTTTTTGCTTAAACTTCATTCTGTTAGTAAGTCCCACTCTGAGTTCCTTTATTTCATGGCAATCATGCCTCTCCCTACAGCTCAAGGGCTAGAGGGAGCACAGAGCCTTAGAAAGGGCTCATGTTTGTTACTCTGGGTACCGCACATGCATGAGATGAATTGTGAAAGCAACACTACTCTGTTCATTAAGTGTCTTCAGGAACTAGCATCTTTAGAAATGAAGGATTTATTGCATGGAGGCTCATAATTTTATACAGAACCTGTGTCACTGATTCTCAACCTGAGCACCATGACACCCTTTGGACTCCTGAGCTGAATCAATAAATCTAGGAGGGAGCCTGGGCATCTGCATTTTAAACAGGTGTTTCAGCTTTCTCCAGTAATAGTGGGTCCACCTTCGTTAGAAATACTGGCCTAGATTACTAAAATGTTGAAGGTTGAAATGATTCACTGCCATTTATCTTAAGACAAATTCTGATTTACTGGGTCTAATTAAGCCCATTTTTTTGTGATATATTAAGATTGGTTAGGTTAGCTTGAGTTTATGTAAATGTGGGTGACACTGCTTTTACGAGGCTTTTTACCTTTGGAAGACTGGTTGCTTTTACACTCCTTTATTTATTACTATTTTATTTCTTCAGGTGCTGTTGCTTCTGAAATAAAAGTCTGATGCTATACATGTGAATTTTGACTTCTGAATTCACATACGCTATCTTTTTTCTTTCTTAGGTACGAGATTATGTAATCAATTTATTAACGCTGTTTCACTTAGGATAGGGGAGGTTAGGATTTAGTAACAAACAACCTCTAATATCATTTTTTGATAAGCCCGTATTGATACACTATTATAACTTAAAACCCATAGTTTATATTAGGGTTCACTCTCTGCTTTGTATTCTGTGGGTTTTGACAAATGCGTAATAACGTGTATTACAGTATCAACAGAATAGTTTCAACTGCCCTAAAAATTCCCTGTACTACTTATTCCACCTCCCTCCCCACAAGCCCCAGCAACCACTGCTCTTTTACTGTGTCCACAGCTTTGCCTTTTCTAGGATGTCATATTATTTGTAGCCTTTTCAGATTGGCTTCTTTCACTTAGCAATGTGCATTTAAGGTTCCTTCATGTCTTTCCATGGCTTGATAATTCATTTCTTTTTAGTGCTGAATAGTATTTCATTGCTTGGATGTACCACAGCTTATCCATTCACCTACTGAGGGATGTATTGGTTGCTTCCAAGATTTGGCAGTTATGACTAAAGATGCTACAAACATGCAAGTTAAGATTTTTGTGTGGATATATGATTCCAGTTCATTTGGGTAAATACCAAGGAGCATGATTGCTGAATCATATGGTCAAATTTAATATTTCAGAGCAAAAAATAAATATTTACCCTAGATTTGCTATGTGTCTCTGCTTTCTTACCCCCATGCCTCTCTCTTAGCTTACTTGTGGATTCCATGGACCTACTGGGATTCTTTGGCAGAACCATTCCTTTAGTCTACTTTTTGGTGAGCCATTTTTTCTCCAACTTGCTCAATTTACTGGATGCCACCTAAATCTGTTCAGAGACTTTAACTATGGGTGAGACAGCTAAACACAGTTTAATTCTTGCTGCAGTGTGGAGTTCTAGTTGGCATTTATTACTAAAGATGTTTCTCAGTTTTTTCCCTTACTCATTAGGTTTGAGAAGTGGTTGTCTCTTCCAGACTTAGAAGTTTATGTGTTTGTGGACTGTGTCTATTCCCTAATATTTTTGCTTGCAATGTGACTTACTCTTTCATGATTTCAGTTCTGTCTTGTAATACCTGTGTAATGGGTTGAACTGAACCCTCCCAAAGTGATTCGTTGAAGTTCTAACCTCCACCCCTGTACCGCCCCACCTCCCCATACCTTGGAAATAGCATCTTTATAGAGGTAGTCAAGTTAAAATAAGGTCATTAGGATGAAATCTAGTACAACACAATGTGTGTCCTTATAAAAGGGAAATTTAGAAACAGACAGGAAGAACACCATGTGAAGATGAAGGCAGAGCTCAGAGTAATGTGTGTACAAGCCAAGGAACACCAAAGATTGTCAGCAAAACATGGGAAGCGAGCCCAGAAGTGTGAAACAGACTCTTCTCTCAATGCTCAGAAGAAACAAACCCTGTCAACACCTTCATCATGGACTTCTAGCTTCCAGACCTGAGACAGTATGTTTCTGTTGTTTAAGCCACTCAGTTTGTGTTCATTTGTTATGGCAACCCTAGCAAACTAATACACTCTGCAAATGAAGCCAGCGATGTCAAGAACATACTACACTGTTCTGATTCTTAACCACTTCTAGAGATACATGTTCACTTAGTTTATTTATCAGCTTTACAAACTATCATAAATAATTTTGTCAAATATGTTATCACTGTGTAATGTGGTTCACCATATGCCTGGCACCAGTTTCTGCTTTCATTGAGGTTAGGTTATGCTGCTGTAACAAACAACCCTGAAATCCCAGCTGACATGGTAATGGTCTGTTCTCCCTTGTGCTACACATCCATCATAAGCTGACTCTGCTCACTGGTGTTCTTGTTCAGGGATCCAGGATGATGGGAAGTTCATTTCAATGTGATTCCAGGATAATTACTGAAATCAAAAGGAAAAGAATAATTAAAGTTCTCCCACTGACAAGTAAATGCTCTGTTCATTTATAACATACTGGCTAGAACTAGTTGCTTGTCATCATTCAACTATAAGAGGAACGGGAAATTTGGTCTTTTGTGTGCTCATAGGAAAAGAAGAACAAAGTATTAGTGTAACATGGATAAATACCACCAAAATACCCCTAAAATATTGATCTAGGAACTGCTAGTGTTTCAGTTTGCTCATTAATTCAATAGTTAGCAAATCCTTATTATGAACCCAATCCTATGGTAAGTGCTGAGGATAAATGATAAGTAAAACTGAACTCTTTCTCTTTTCTTAGGGAATTTATAGCCTGATGGGGGACATTTATCAAATAATAAAATGTAAAATTGCAACTATGATGGTTGCTATGAGGAAGGGCTACAAAGAATCATAATGTTTATCATGAAGGGATTCGACCTGGTCAGGGAGACAAAAAAGAATTCATTAAGGAAGTAATGCTTGAGCAGAAATCTAAAGGATGAGTAATAGTAAACCACTTAAAGAGAGTGGTAAGAGTTTTCAGGAAGAAGGAACAGCATATACAAAGGTCCTGGTGCAGGAGAGAGAGCAGTAGATAGGCATGGGGTGAGATGGTTAGTGACAGCATCATTAGAGATGAGGCTGAAGGGATAAGTAGACAACATATCCTGTAAGGATTTTTAGGCCACAGGAAGGAATTTCATCTTCATTTCCATACAGACTGGAATCAATTATGGGTTTGAGCAAGAGTGTAGCCATGAAGTGGAATCCTGTTAATAACTGATGTTTTTTTGCAGTTAGTACTCCCAGCAGCTGGGGTTCATGGCTTTCCCTGCAAGACTGGGAAGCCCATCTCTGTGTCCACCTCACTCCGTTCATATGTGGTAGAGCCACAATTGGAACCAAACCTGCTGAGTTCAAGGTCAGTGTTTGCTTCATCTCACCACCAGGAGCCTGGGGATCAAGGCATCAAAGAAAATACTGCAAAGTATAGTGGAGAACTTTGCCTAAAGAATATGATAAAAAGAGATAACATCACAGCGAAAAAAAATGTGACAGTGAATATACGTATGTTCATGTATAACTGAAAAATTGTGCCCTACACTGGAATTTGATACAACATTGTAAAATGACTATAACTCAATTAAAAAAATGTTAAAAAAATAAAGTATTATCCTGCAAAAAGAAAAGACATAACAAATACAGTTAACTCCTCTTCCCTGAAATAATATCTTTGGCAAATGAATCTTTATTCTCCAGGGTTTTTTTCCCCCCTCTGTAGTCTTAGTGTCTGCCCTTTGATCTAAAGTAGAGTAAACTTTCATACAAGAACATTTGACTTTTTTCTCCAGTTTGACTATTTATAACCTATTTAAAATTGATTTGTAGTCTTACAGTCTTCAAATTAATTCTAGGCATAAGCTGGGAGAAGGTCATCTTCCTCACAATTTTTGCTGTTTGTCAGTGTTTAAAGGGACAGCTTTAATTCCACTGCTTTGTAGCTCCTGCCTTTAACATGCATCAACCCAGGCTAATCACCCTGACCTGGATTATCATGCTCTTTCTTCTGCTTGAGATCATCTACTTTGGAGGCCGGCGAGGCCATGGAGGCAAAGATGGATAGCCACTTGCTCAGTGTTGCATTGCTAATTGGTCTGAGAGTTGCTATTGGGAGCTGGATTTTCCTACTCCTCATCCTAGGCCATTTCCAGTTCAAGCCTCAGCCTCATTGCTCCTCAGAGGCAGAAAGAGCTATCATGAAAGTGTCAGCCAGTCCCTGTGCTAAGTATTACATCCTAGGAATGGTTTGATTTGCTGTAGAGATTCTTTTACTGTTTGTTCTACTTCTCTGGGCTTCTAAACAGCCCTCTGTCTGCTCCTACTCACTCTAGTTCTTAAACTGTTAAACTCTGGGGATCATCCTTTTTATACTTTGCTAAATCTCTAGGTTCAGAAAATCCTTATACTGAATTTTCTGTGTTCTGAGGTGTCTGTTTCTCTCCCATGGGACTGTTCTGCAGTCAGCTTGTGCTTTATAATTGTCTTGTCTGTTTTCTTTATCTTTTTTCTTAGTCTTCCTATATAATTAAGCATCTTGGATTAGTGGCTTTTGTCCCCCAGGTAAGTGGGAGTTCTGCCTTTTGGCTTGGCAATATTTATATTGTATCTAGTATTGACAGAAAGTTTTTGAAAATGCTTTATACACTTCCATCTTTACTGTTTCAAGAATATTAAGTAAATATGTTTTGGTATTTCAGGTTATGATTGAGAGAGAGGTCAAGATAATGTATTTCCAGTTCTTCTGCCTGGAGGACAGAGAGATTAATAAATACAAGCTCTAGAGCAAGATTACTTGTGTGTGGATCCTGATTCAGCCACTTTATTAGCTGATACTGTGGGCAAGTCACTTAACTTTCTAAACCTTAGTTTCCTCATCTGTAAAATGGGCATGACAACAATAATAAACTATCAAAGGATTGTCCTAGGATCTTATGAGATAAGGCATGTAAAGGACTTGGTGCCTGAAACACAAACATGGATATTAATAAAATATTTATTGAACATCTATCACATGCCAGGCATCATGGTATATATACTTTATCTCTTACAACTCCTATGCAGCTTTGCTAAAATGTCTGTAATTTACTGATGAGGAAACTGTATTTGAATTAGCCATAGTCATAAAGCTAGTGAGTTAAAGAGCTAAGGTTTGCATTTATATCTCCTTGACCCCCGAGGGTCAGCCTGTTTCTGCTAGGCTGCAATGCCTCAGGAGCACTGCCTGTTGTAGTCATGGTGCCATTCGGTAAAATGGATTCTCTCAAGGGCTTCTCGGATGTGTGAGGTTGGCTTATTTCTTACCGCATTCCCTGAACAGCTGTGCTGTGAGATATGAGGTTTGTCATATCAACGCTGTTATGCACTGCATGCTTATGTCCTCTCAAAATTCATATACTGAAGCCCCAGTCCCAGTGGGATGGTATTAGGAGGTGGGATCTTTGGAAGGTAATTTGGTTTAGATGAGGTTATGAGGGTGGAGCCCCATGATGGGATTAGTGCCCTTATAAGAAGAGGAAGAGACACAGGAACTGTCTCTTTAAGTCATGTGGGGATATAGCCAGAAGGTGACTGTCTACAGGCCAGGAAGAAGGCTCTCACAAGGAGCCACAACTGCCAGCACTTTGATCTTGGACTTCCTAGCTCCAGAACTGTGAGAAATGTCTTTTTTTTTTAAATCCCACTCCGTCTATGGTATTTTTATTATAGCAGCTTGAACTGGCTGAGCTGGCTGAGATAATCTCCCTCAGGATTATTCTCTTTGAACCTTAGCCATTGCATTCCTTGTACCCCAGTCCAGGCTTTTACCTGTTGCCTTACCTAATCTATATGCTATGCAAAACAATTATT